CCACGGAAAAGGGGGACACACGGCGCCGGCCTCACGTCACGCGGCATCAAGGACCCACGTGTCCGCGGGCCCAGGAGCAGCACCCCACGACTCCGGCCACGCCTCACCTCCCGGCCAGGCTTGTTTAAGCGCCAACCCGTCTCCCCTCCCGGGCCCGGCGCTCTACAGACACTGCCAGGAATGGTCGCCGCCAGGTCTACTCGGGGTCGGCAGGGGGCACCCTGGGGGCGTCTCCATACGCCTCCCCGCGGCCCCCCACGGAAAAGGGGGACACACGGCGCCGGCCTCACGTCACGCGGCATCAAGGACCCACGTGTCCGCGGGCCCAGGAGCAGCACCCCACGACTCCGTCCACGCCCTCAGCCGGCAGGTAACTCACGGGAACTGGATTCTCCACGCCCGCACTGGGCCTGGCTCACCCAGAACCCCCTCCCTGTCGGCCGCCCCAGTATCTGCGCACCCTCGAGGTCCTTCAGAACCGGTTTGCCTTCGCAGACGTGTGGAAGCGGCCCGACAGCTTTCCGATTTTGGACCGCCTCTCAAGATAAAGGTCCGAAATGCTAAGGACACTTTGGGGCCCACGACTTTCCCTTTCTATTTGTAAACAAGTATGCAGTTTGTGCCGTAAAAAATAATGACAGTTATGGGAAACCCATGGGGATTACAATTGAGATGAAAAAAAAATGTGCAAAATGATGTAAAAATAAACTTTTTAATAAAAAAAAAAAAAATAATGACAGTTAAGTGAAATGCAGAAAAGAACGAGGGAAACCAGAAGAGTCCCAAACAGACACCACCGCCCAGGAGCACTGTTGAGCGTGAGCATGCGTGTCGTCAGGCTTTCTGCTCACCACTGACACCGTGCCAGGGCCTCCTCTCACTTCCACGAGCCCGTGAAGGTGACCGCCCGCGGCGTGTCCACGCGAGAGCGGCCCCGGGGTTGCACTCAGCCCACACGAGTCCCGCTCATGAATTACAGCCTTCATTTCCAGAGAGGAAAGAACTGTTCAGCTCCTTTCCACACTTTGCTGGGTGCCCCGTCAAATGCAATGCTCGGTATCAAGCGACAGAAACACAACGTTGGCTATTAACGTTCTTCTTATTCCCACCCATGAAATCATGAGAGTCACTGGCAGTCAAGAAGGCGGTGAGGTTCCTGCTACTAAAGCCACTGGGTTTGGAAATTCTACCTCAAGGAATCTGTCCCGCAAAGGGTTTTTTTAAAGAGGAATTCCAAAAATATATAGGTAAAAGTACCTGAAACAATGTCAACATCAATGAATGGGGAAGAAAATATAAACTGCATGACAAATATGTTGCGTTCTATTAAAAAAAAAAAAAAAGAGCGACGTCTACAAACACTTGGTTCCTGCTACGGACCACACACGGCCCGAAGGCTTCTCATCACCCCATCAACAACGCAGTCAGTGTGGGGGGAGCCGTCGTGGGGCCGGGCCCCGGCCCCTCGCACACCCCAGCTCCACCGCGGGTCCCCCAAGGCGCATGCAGACCGGAACAGCAAAACCAGGACAGCCCTGAGGTCCAGACAGGGCGTGTGTGTGCTTGAATGCACAGGCCAATCTCCCCTAACTCCAGAACAGACCCGAACGCCGAAGGGACTAAGGTGGGAGACCTTTCACTTCATCAGCTTCTAAAGATATAAAGTTCTTTCTTTAGGTGTTAGTTCTACATATACTTTCCCCACCAACCAGTTAACTAGAAACTAACCACTCTCTCGCCCAAGTAACGTGGGAGATACCGTTCCCGCCCCCACCCCTCAGGCTTCCCAACCTTCCCCACGCGGTCATCCCTCTTCCTGACTGACCCAGGGGACGTGTTCTGCCAAGGTGGGACCCAGGCCGTGCCCAAGACATAACCCCGATCTGGGGAACTCGCCTGTGCACAAGGCTCCCCGGGGCTCTGGACACCCCAATGCCAGCAGCACCCTCACCTCCTGCTCCCCAACCAGCGGCCGCCTTTCTCGCGCATCGGAAGTTCCACGTTTGTTCTGCCCCTGTGTTTGTGACACCGAGGCCAGAAGCTTCCTCCAGCATCTACAAGGGCTCGTCACTGAGAACATCTCGCAGGCACGGGGCGGCCGCCTCGCACAGTCGAGACGGCCACATGAAGTAACTGGCAACAACACATGCCGGCGAGGCTGTGGAGAGAAAGGAGCCCTCTAACCCTGCTGGTGGGCACACAAACTGGCGCAGACACTGTGGAAAACCCTGCAGAGGACCCTCAAGACTACTCTACCACATGACTCAGCGATTCCACCCTAGGGACCTACCCAAAGGACACTGCGACACTAATTTGAGAGGAAGCCTGCACCCGTTTACTGTAGCGCCATCTGCCACAGCCGAGATGCAGACACAACCTACATGCACCACACAGATAACAGGATCAAGCAGATGTGGTCCGTTTACACCGTGGAATATTACTCGGCGATCAAAAAGATGGACCCGTGCCATTCATGCGACGTGGATGGAGCTGGGGGAGATTTTGCTCGGTGAAGCCAGTCAGAAGGAAAAAGAAAAATATCAGATGGTTTCACGGGCTTGAGGGGGACAATCAAACACTGCACAAAATGAAGCCACGTTACAAAAAATAATACAAGGGAAAAAAAAAAAAACAGAGAGAAAACTCTCCCGAGAGCGGGACCACCCCTGGAAAGGAGGGGCCTCTGTGCACAGGTCACTCCAGACCCGCTCAGGGTTGCCACTGGAAGGCACCCCGGGGTTTGCCTGGCCGCCGCAAGAACTTGGCCCAGGAGGGCAGAGCCTGTTCCGGTCGGGTTTACCTCGCACGGCGGTACCACCTCGGGACGTCTGCCGGTTAGACGAATCCAGGGTGCCGTCTTGCACTATAATTTACTGTCTTAGTAGCGTACGATTATAAACACACAGCCGAGGAGCCTCCTCCCACCTGCCCCTGTTAAATAACCCAGGACAAACTCCCTGGCCACAGCCGCTCCGGTCAGCAGCTGGGGCGGCGCCCGGAGCTGTGGAAAGCCTGCGAACCACGCGTCTGGCTGGGAGGCAGACTGCTCGGGTTTGCCCTGGTAGCAGAGGAAAGCCAGCTGAAATGTCAGCAGGAGCGTGGAAGGGGGAGGAGAGCGACGGCGGCCGACGGGAAACCGGGTGGGATCTGGAGAACGGGGCGGCCGCGAAGCGCGGAGGAGAGCCAGGACGGGAGAGTGTCCACAGATAATCTCCAGCATAATCCACCCTGGGTAATAGAATATCGACGATAATTACATTCATCCCACTGACCTTGTTCTAAATTATTATGGATTATTACCACGCGAGTTATTTTGTTCCACACCAGAGGTGGCTGTATTTCGCTATCAGATGACATGACCTCTAATTCAATAATGTCTGTAATGTACTGGTATCCTCAGATAAAAGCTGTCTATAATGTCTGAACAAAGGTGAATTAGTTATCCAATTCACACACGCAATTAACTCTCTTAATACCTGCGAGACCACGGAGTCCCTTCTGAATTCCCCATTAAACGCCACATATGGAAGGCTCCTTCCATCTGCAGTTATCTTGTGCTGTGCTTCACAATAAACAATATTAATAGTTTATTGCCCCCCGACAAAAATCTTGCATTCGTTATCGCGGGAGACCTCATTCCGCAAAGCCACGACTCCTGTCCCGGGAAAAGGCATTCCACCCACGCCCGGCCTATTAGTCAAGCTCAGGAACGTGGAAATAACGACACCTGCATGAAATGTGGAAAGGCGTCTTTTTTTTCTTGCTGTTGGCTCTTTTAAGAATACCTCCGCGAAGCCAAAGGGCGGTGTTTATTCCGTGTATTTCCATTTCTGTGCTGCATGCCGTCACTCCCAAGGAAAAAACGATCTATTTAAATTCGCGTGTGAAAGTGCGAAACCAAATGAAAACGGGATTTGGGGGCCACCTGTTCCCTCTCCTCGGAGCTGAAATTTCATGAGAAAGTTGAAGGCAGCGCCCCGCACCCCTGCTTTGCGCCCATATGGGATGCCAATAGCTATGTCCGTGAAAGCCCGCATCAGAATAACTAGGAGACCGCGAATGTTCAGCAAATGCCCGGGCCTTCTGAAAAGGGAGGTAATTAATGAATTCTTCAGGGGATGCTTTCAATTTTAGCCAGCTAGCATCCACGCGTCTTTTCAGCACAGAACACAGCAGAGTGGCTGAAATAAAGGGGAGCCCGCCCGCCCCCCCTCTGCCGGGAGGACAGTGGCAGGTGGGTGGCAAGGCCCACCGGGGACGGAGGCCGGGGCCCAGCGGGGGGGCGCGGCGCCAGACGGCCCCCCAGAGAGGCCCGCGCGGCGGGTCGGACGCGGGGGCCCGGGCCGCGAGCTCGCCTGGGCGCTGCACCGACCTTCAGCGTGCTGCAGGACGAGGAACACTGACTCCTCGGAGATAATGTACTTGTGCAGACACACCATGTTGGGCACGCAGCGGGGGATGATGGTCTTTCTGTTCCCGCTGTATTCACTCCTTTTCCTCAGACCCTGACAGAGAACAAAAAGGTCAGTTGTACCCTCAGCTGCCTCTGCAGCCTGCTGTGCTCTGTGTTTATCAACCAAACTAATCTATCCCGGTTACTCCGGGCTTCAGAGAACCACTCATCTGCTGCTCCGTGCCCCTCGGTCCCTGGGGGCGCCGCTGATGGGAGCTGGCGCACGGCCAGCGCTCGGGAGAGGCCACGGAGCTGCCATTAAAATCAATTACGTGGGTCAGTGTTTTTATTAGAGACGCTCGCGAACTAAGTCATCGGGACGACACGCAGTTATTTCGCTGTGACCTCTGTTTAAGTTTCCCTTTACTTGTGTTTCTCCTCAGGGCCACGGCCGAGGCGACAAGCCCCCGTCCCTGAAACACAAAAGGCTTCCCAGCCCGGACGGTGCTCAGCCTTCTCCAGAGACACCAGGCGTGTGTGGCGTCACGGCAGGTCACACACCTGGGGGCAGAAAGG